TTTTCCACCTGCACTGTGAATGTTAACATGGTGTGTTCAATAAAAACATGGCAACATTTCATTCTTTGTGTGTTATTAGTTTAAGCAGACTGTGATTGTCTATTGTTGTGACTTAGATGATGATCAGATCACATTTTATGACCAATTTGTGCAGAAATCCATATCATTCCAAAGGGTTCACATACTTTTTCTTACAACTGTATATTTATTTATATATATATATATATATATATATATATATACACACATAGTTACATAGCTGAAAAGAGACTTGCGTCCATCAAGTTCATCTTTCCTCACATTTGTTTTTTGCTGTTGATCCAAAAGAGGGCAAAACCCCCCCAGTTTGAAGCACTTCCAATTTTGCAACATACTAGGGGGAAAAATTCCTTCTTGACCCCAGAATGGCAGTCAGATTTATCCTTGGATTAAGCAGCTATTACCCTACTTTGAAAAATTATATAATTGAATATTCTGTTTTTGCAAGTATACATCTAGTTGCTGTTTGAACATGTGCATGGACTCTGATAAAATCACTTTATATATATAAACAAACAAAAAAAAACAAACAGCAGTATATTGTACTAGTTTCAAGAGATACTCTGATGCCATCCACCGGGCAAGAGTCCAATGGACCCTAGGCTCATGCAGTCCAAGCTGAAGTCCCTACTTCTGCATTAGTGATATTGATTCCAGACTTTTTAAGTCATGTCTACATCAGCTAGTGGGGGGCAAATGTAAGCATTAAATCATTTGCAAAGTGTTTGACTCTTGCTCAGGGGACGGTGCAGGGAACACATGGCACCATAACCACTAAATTATGCTGTAGTGGTTATGGTGCTTAGAATGTCATTTTAATTGTAGCAGATTTTTGAGAAGCTGGACTGTTACCCTGGGAAAAAACTAATTCTAAGTTTAATAAATTAGAGAAATAACAAAGGTGGTAGACTCAGCCATTCATCTGTGTCTACTGCCAATTAAAGGGCAATTTTACTTTATAGTGCCCAGATGACACAACATAGAAAAAAACATTAAGTACAGTAAAGTATACACTTAAAATATATTTTGTTATGCACACGCCTTACAGATTACTTGCAAGAGGAAGTCAATTTGACACTGACCTTGAAACCATATAAGGTTTCAGAATATTATTTATGTGCCTATAAATATATACTTGAAGCATAAGACAACTGAATACTTTATTTAAAAATAGCACTTGCATGCTCCAGGAGTGAAATTAGGTCATTACAGCTGATGCAGTTTATCCCAAGCTGTTTCTCTAAGGAAACACTCTTTAACTATGTCTAGACAAATGATAGACATCAAGCATTCTAAGACTTAGAGCTAACAAAACTTGTATTAAGAAAAAAATAATTTAAAATAGCAGCACAGCTACCAAAACATCGGGTGCAGTCCTTTCAGGTTTTGTAAAACCATCTCCTACCACCCAAAGCCCCCAATACTCACAGACTATAAATGCCACTACATGTATACAGATAATGTATAAGTAAAAATTCTGCATTATCTCAGTGCCAGCAGCAGGGAAGGGGGGAAGGGGGCAGAGGCGGAGTGGGGTTGAGTGCCAGAATTCTTGAAAAACAATGTCACTTTTACTAAATATATCATCGTTGTAATACAAGTTACCATTTTAAAACAGTAATATTTGTGTTTAGCGAAGTCTCCTGAGTAAAACAGTACCCCCCCCCCATGTACAGGTTTTATGGTGTCTTGGAAAGTTACAGGGTTAAATACAGTGCGTGCAAATTAAATTCTCTGCACTTTCTGCCTGGGTTGTCAGGCACGTCAATCAAATTTTAATAAATTAAATCACATAATTATGTTAAAAGATTACTTAAATATACAAGTAGAATTTTAATATATATACATATATATGTATTTAAATTCTATGTGTATACTTATGCAGTTATTTATGTAATTATATATATTTATCTATATATAAATATTTGCAGTTATTTGTATTTTATATATAGATATATATAGAATGTCATTTTAAGTGTATTTTGTTACCAGTATATATATATATATATATATTAATAATAAAATACAGTTAGAATGAGATTATATATGTATAATTTACTTTAATTTAAAAAATTATTTATTTATTTATTATTGTAATTATACATATATATATAAACATAAAATATATATGTATTATATATATATAATATATATCTTGTATATATGTAACTTTATTCTAAGTGTATTTTAATACTAATATATGTACTTATATTAACATTAAAATACACTACGTATGACGTTACATATATATAATAAATTTTAAACATGTTTTTTTTATTTTTTTATTTTAATACTTCCCACCAGCAGGGGGACTGTCTGACAGCCCAGAGAGTCCTCCTGCTGGCAGATCCACAGCCAGCTATAGGGGGCCATGTGATCGCTCTTTGAGAGCGATCACATGGCCCCTAGGGGCCTGATTTGCTGTCAAGCAGTCCTCCCGAAGTGGATCGTGGCGGAGGGGAGTACCGCCGAGCTCCTGGGGCTAAAAGCCGTTACGGCATTCCATTCCGCCGCAACGGCTTTAAAGCCCATTTAATGCGGGACGGCATAGAACGCTGTAACAGCGTTAAGGGGTTAAAAACAAGGATACAACTCCTTATTACAATTATTTATATTCACATAAAATGGCACTCCAGTGTATCTTCCTTTTGAATTTGTTTATTAAAAACAAGGTATACCTATAGGACCAATGCCATGCATTGTCATTCCCTATTATTATGTGCAGTACTACACACCTGTAGCCAAACCATTACAATGAAAAAGATAGAAAGGAGAAATGCAGTGAACAAGATTTTGCCATCCAGGTAAACTTTAAATGTAATTATCCTTTATGTACTCAACTCAAAATATTAAAGGAACACTATAGGGTCAAGAACACAAACATGTATTCCTGACCCTAAAGTGTTAAAAACAAAATCTAGCATCCCTGCCCTCTCTAAATATAGTAAAGTCTTGTATTCCAGTCTGCTGCTGCTGCTGGCTCGGTCTCTGGTCTGCCTGCTTGGCTGACATCATCAGAAGTCTTGAACAATAGCCAATCACAAAACTTTCCCATAGGATTGGCTGAGACTTTCAAGGAGGCAGATCAGAGGCAGAGCCAGAACAAGCCAAACACAGCCCTAGGCAATCAGCATCTCCTCAGAGAGATCCACTGAATCCATGCAGAGGGTGGAGACACTGAATGGCAGTGCTGCAGCCCCAGGAAGCACATCTAGTAGCCATAGGAGTGGCCAGTGAAGGTATCCCTCAGCTCTAATGTAAGCAAACTAGGACTTTAAGATATTGCCTGTCCCCCTCCTTCTCGATCTATAATTTTCTTTTCCTTCCACTTTTTATCCGGATCTGTTGTCTTTTCTTTTATCTCTATCAGTCCTACAATCCCTCCTTATTTGTCTCTCTCTTGTTAGTCGTTTCTTGGGCACTCTCTGCCCCCTGCTGCTCTTTCCCATTGGTTTCTTAAATTTCCACAAATAGCTTGTCTAGTTTATGCCAAACCCCATAGTCTATTAGTTTATCTATTACAGACTATAAGCAGGCTTCCCCAAACTCCGGCCCTCCAGATGTTGCTGAACTACAACTCCCATGATTCTATGAATGAAATAGATAGGCTGATAATCATGGGAGTTGTAGTTCAGCAACATCTGGAGGGCATGAGTTTGGGTAAGCCTGGACTATAGGGTAGAACCAAATAAAATACAATCTTCTTTTGCTTTGAGTTGGACAATTAAGGAACATTTTGGCATCTTTGAGACAAATACAATGCAGCAAAAAATTGCTGCTCCTGTTCCGGAGCACCTGTGGCCGATGGGGGTGAGTGCGGTTCCTGTGACCAATTTTGTTATATACAATGCAAACTTGTTCTAAGCCTATGATTTAAATTGAATCTTCCAATCATCTACTATAAGTTTAAGGTACTTTATTAAGTGTTGTATGTTTTGCGCAAACAAAACTGTACATCAATCTTAATACAGGAGAACATTATAATAAATAAAAGAAGTAGATGTAGAGTTGTTGGTGCAGAAAATGTGTAAAAGAGAAAAATCTAAATTTTCCACTTCACCATTAGACACCATAAAATGATATTACTTCAATTCAATGTACATCACTGTAAGAAAATGATTAATAAGAATAGTATCCACACAAACTGCATCAACAAGCAGAGCTAAACTGAAAGTAATGTGGTATCAGCTATGCTTGCGGACCACCAAACACATTTTTATGAATGTAGCCATATAGTAACCAGCATGTTTACAACCAAATGGTGCAGGCATTTTTAGTCTCTGCTGATGAGCAATATTTGCATTATGTTGTTTTTGCATATAGACAGCTGCTTTCTGCATGGTGGAAATAAGGAAAAGCCAACAAAGAATGGGGATTAACAAATCTTGTTTTTAACTCACTCTTTTTTACATGATTGTTAATATAAAATAAAAGGGTAGGAAACTGCAAAACATGTTCATAAAAAAAATAAGAAGGCTTTAATTTTTATAATTTAAGTTACCCTATTTTTGGGGGGAGACACTTGATTGGAGGACACATTTAAGGAAGAGAGAGTGTTTGAGTGACATACACAAATGTTGTAACCTAAAGCACTTTATAGGTTTATGATATTTGACAATGTCATTCTTCATGGGATATTAGTACTGGGCATGGTCTCTTTAGTTTCGCTTTTGTACACCTAATTAGTGAGACATTGAATTAACCTGGCCTGTAACAGACATATGTTAAGAGCAGCTTCAGGTAAGGCAATTTGATACTTAACTAATTTTTCAAAATGAGATGCGTAATCCCTGCTACAGAGCAACAGGGAGCAGTAAACATTTTGTTACTTGACTGACTTTGGAAAAGCAAAGTATAATAAAAAAAAAAAAAAAGTTTAATAAGGAGTTTACATGCACTTCTAATGGGTTACTAACACTGTCTGCTAGTGTAGTTTTGTTATTAATGGACCACATGAAACATTATTGTGCCAAACTTCCTTTTTCTCCAGTCCATAGTTCTCGTAAGTCCACATTACAGCCGAGGTCTCTCAGAGCTGCTTTGGCCACGTCATCGCAGTCTTTGTGTGTGCTGCGGGCTTTTACTATCAGAGATTCTGCTCCCATTTCCAATATAGATTGACAGAAATCACTATTCCTGGAGACCAAGTTCCTGATTACCATGCAGGCTTGTTTCTGTAGAGAGATAGACATATACATTAACTTTTGGTAATCAAAAGGCATCTACAACATACATAAGATTTGCAAATCTGGTAGTTAAAACAATTGCCATAAATCTGTTGGTATTAAAAGGGAACTGTTACACTTCTGAAAATTACATAATTGAAAACAATATTGGAAAATCACCTATAATTTTTTTTGTTAAAATGAAACGTTCTATTTTCCTGTAAATGCAGGGTTGTAAAATTCCTTTTACCCAAGACCTGGGCTTGTGTTTCTAGATACCGGGCATGCGATTTTATTCTGCCTTCAGCACAGCTGAATGGGACAGACAATGGGACAGACAACCCCACTAGTCCAGAGTTACTGGTTAATTTGTGTAGCTTAGAGCTATTTAGAAGCACTGCGGTGTTCCATTACATAGCTCTATTGAGGAGATAGGTTAGCTTTCTCAATTTATGATGTGAGTCATGCACTCATCATTTCCCCACTTGGTTATTGCAACCCACTACTCATTGCCTCTCTTCAGCCTGTAATGAATGCTCCAGCGAGGATCATCTCCGTAAATAACGGCATATCTCACCCCTTTGCCAATGTCCTTCAGGATCCAATTCAAACTGCCAACACTAACCTACAAAGCGCTTAAAAACAACACCCATCACTTAATTTCTTCTTTACTTAACAAATACACCCCCTTATCATTCCTTTGGCTCTCTGAGCAGCCTTTTCCTTTTGTTCTCGCAACTCTCATCTGCAGGATTTTTCAAGGCCTGCCACATCCCATGGAATTCCCTACCCCGTGTCATCATCTACTAGCCTCCAGTCCTTTAAAGGGACACTATAGTCACCCAGACCACTTCAGCTCAATGAAGTGCTCATTCCGCTCCGCTGACGTCAGACGGGGGAGCTGACGAAAAATATCTGAATAGCATGTGTGGGAACACTCCTAACACAGCTTTAATATAGGGTTATAATTTGTATCCTTGTGGGCAAGTCATGGTTCTCCTTTTGAAACAATGTTTCACTTTTGACACAACATAACCAGCACTATTCTTTTAGAGGACAAATTGTTCCCATGGATAATTCCCACTGCTGATTCTCTACATATGCTGCAATTTACATTTAAAACTGGAAGCAGGTTCACTGGAGTTTGCATTTCATGGAAACAAGTTTTTTTATTTGTTTCATAGGAACTAATAAAGTATAACAAAGAACAAAACAAAGAAAATTTAAGAATAATCAGGGTAGATCGTATTAAATTTATTATTTAAATCGCTTATCAGTAAGACTCAATTTAAATATAAATAATAAACAAAGACTCATTCTTGCTCGTTGTTGTAATTTTAATATTTCCAACCGGATGAATATATAAATTTTAGAATAACTTTTTAGATTAGTTTAACAGTTATAATAAATACTTTTGTTTTATATATATATATATATATATATATATATATATATATATATAGATAGATAGATAGATAGATAGAGGTGAACTAGGTTAATCACTCATATTTGGAAAACTTTAATTGTTTTATTTAACTGAAATAAAAATCTGAATATTTGCATAAACATCAATGATTATTAACTAAACTGTTTAAACAAAATATCTTTAAAAAAAACAACAAAAAAACGTAAACTGCAATGGTTTGCTCTCCTACCCAGGTTACTGTCAGGCAATAATCCTTCTTTGATGCTGGGTGATATGCATCTGGCTTCTGCAGAACGCAAGAAGCTAGATGTCGATCCCTGATGGCCATTCATTGGCTGAGAGAGTCAGCTGAACACTTTCAGCGAATGAATGATCCTCTGTGCAAAGAATATGCACAGAATTGACATTAGAATCATCCATTGGCTGAAAGTGCATGTTCCCTGTTATTTGATGATTTCTGGGAAGCTTGAGATGTCCATTTTGTTGCATATGTTCCTAGATGTGCTCTCTAACTGACAACTGGTGCATGTGATGATTTTGTGATTTCTCATTCTAAATGAAAGACCCTCCAACAGAAACTGTGAGGTTTTCCACTACAAATTTCTAATTGTGGCAGGCCAAACCCTCATAAGCAGATCCAGAGAGGAAGTTCTCTGTTCCATTCTGCCAGAATATTTCTTTGTAGAGGTTGCATTTTTTTTTAATTCTTTTTTAAATTTTTTATTTTTGCAGTGCATAAAGACAGTTACACTTTGGCTCGAGGTACCCCAACGGCAGTCCTCTGGCAACTTTTCAAACATAACATTTGAGGTTATTGAGTAACGTGCACATTTTTATATAATACTTTGATTAACAGGTAGCTTCGTAGTATATCTAGACGTAATATATGATTTAGATTTCTTCATTGCTTAAACTTAGCTTTTTGACCACCAGGGAGCAGCAAGTCTCTGAGTTAGCAGGTATGCTTAATAATTTTGTTGTTGTACATGTGGGTCTACCGGCTAGGCGCAATTGCACTAGTTCTATGCATGACAGTATGACATAGTATACTCAGGTATAATAAGGGAGCTTGTGTCTCTTGTCTGTTGCGCCTCTGCGCTTATTTAGGGTTATAGTCCCACGTGAGTCCCTGCCGGTTACCCTGTGAGGTGTTGCCTTCAACAATGCTGGCATGAGTTGTGTTAGCAGGTTGATTGTGCGCTCCTTAGAGGCGTCATGTAGGTGTCTTTCGGTTCGTTGCTCCACGGCTGCCGCCATTATTCTCCAGCTTGTGATGGACACGGCGGCCATTTTGGTTTTCACCATGCGGTCTCTGGCTGCTCGGTTCGCCGCTCAGGAGTCGTGGGTGGTCACTGCCTCCTCGGTGGGGTCCGGGATAAACCCCCCGGCCCACAGGGGGGGAGAACGGGGCCCTCTGTAAGCGCGTGGGAGGTCCCGCCGGACTAAGCACGGGAGACCGGCCGCATCTCCCACCAGAGCCTCACGACAGGCCGCAATCCCAGCCGCCCAGCAGTTTTCATCGCCGGTAGGACGGAGGCCGGTAAGTACACCGAGAGTTGTGCACAGGTCCCCTTTGCCTTCTAGTTGCAGCTGGGTGGTTTTTCAGGGGAAAGGAAATATTTTTAAGGCTAGGATTGTGGGTTTCATGGAGGAGCTGAGGTGCCCCACGTCCATCCAGCTCGGCGGTCAGGCCCCGCCCCCCGTAGAGGTTGCATTTTTACTTGACCCAGTTGACAGCTGGAATTGTGGATGTAAAAAGACCCTACAACCTCATTGCTTCTTTTACTGTGCAGAATTCCTTTGTTTCTAGATCCACAATTGATCTGACAATGTTCATTCTTTTTTCTGTTGGGAGAAAATTATTAATACAAATGGAATCTATGATTAGTCCCCAAAATTGAATACTTCTGGTGGGGACCAGCTCGGATTTTGATATGTTTAAAAGTTTTTCTCTTGAGGAAGCTGTGAAGAGCCAATCGTCTAAGTATGGAATAATTAGGAGACCTTTATGTAATGCAGCTCTGATGACCACCAGTACATAGGTAAAAACCCAAGGCACTGAAGACAGACGAAACAGAAGTTTTTTTTTTAAGTGGAAATGCTGGCTTCCATGCAGAATTTTTTCATTTTAATGCACCTATTTACTAATTTTAGGTCTTAGATAGGCCTGGAAGAACCATCTAGTTTTTGTACCAAAAAGAGTCTTGAGTAGGTTCCTGAAAAGCATTCTGTGGGAAGAACATTTTCTATGACATCTTTCTTTATAAGAGTTTGTACTTCTGCAAACAGGACTGTAGCCAACTTGACAGAATGAACATTATCGAGGGAGAACACTGAACTTCACTTGGTATTCTCTTCTTATGATATAAAGGACCCAATTGTCTGTGGTAGTGTTTTCCTCATTGTATAGCGAATGCCAGATGTCTTCCCTCTCCTGTCATCATAATTTGCAACCCTTAGATTATACAATGAATTTACTTTTTTCTTTATTTCTTTTTTAAATTTATGTTGTTTTTATTGGTTTTTCATAACATAACAAAAGAAATACCTTGACATATAGACAAAGTTATACAGTAGTACGTGGGTTCTTCTCGTATGTTTGTATACAATTATTGCACTCTTTGAGTCTAAATGTGGCTAAATCGGGTAGCGAGTGTGTGAGTTGGCCGTTCTTCTCATACGTAACTCTTAGTGAACTGAGATACCTCTCACCATTGAGGGGTATCCTTGCCTTACTACCTCTATCTCATGCCTGTGGTAGGCTATCGGAATTACCCCGTTGTGTGAATCGTCGGGTCAGTATTTCATCCTACTGGTAGCGTCTGGGTCAGTATAGTCGTTGGTACACCATACTAGGTTGTGTAGTCTTGCATTCGGTGTGTCGTTTTGGTGTTTTATGTCGTAGGACGTGCGGAATATGCTCAATAGATCGCAGTGTGAGGGCACCTACTGTCACTTATGTTGTTATAATGTGTCTAATGTAGATAGCCGTCCGGTACTCCCGGCTCATTGTCTGAGCTGGATAGACTTTCGCTTGGTACTCCATCCAGGTTTAACTTGTACACTGGCTACTTTATCTGAGGTAGAGTTACCCATTACGTGTTTTCTAAGTGAAGGGGTGTTCGTAGCGTTCCGGGCAGGTTTGTTGCCTGCCGTTATTCTTTAATACCTCTTGTGTGTCTGTCGCCCTGTTCTGTTTCCCACATGTCTCTCCGGTACCTCCAGGTCTCTTTTGTCATATGGTTTTGCCCCATGGCTTTGGGGAGGGTGTCTAAGTATGTGGACTATGGGGTTCAGATGCTCGGAGGTTGCTGGTCACCACCTCTGTGTAGGCAGCTGGCTAATGTGTGCCCCCAGTATACTGTCCAGCAGTCAACCTTGTGCCCTACCTGGGTGTAGTGTATGTTTGGGGTTCGGGTAACTTTGTCTGTGCGTCTGGGGTTCAGGCCATGTTTCGTGGTATTGGGTTCATGCGGGGTGGTCGGTCAGGTGTCGTTTTTTGTTTTTTTTTCTGGGGGTTTCCTGGTTTCGTGTTGCTCGTATTTTAGGGCTTATACAAGCTCCCGGTCTCCTCTTCTAAGTTTGATCAGCTGGATGTGTGTGTAGTCTGATACTTGTTGGGTCATGGTGGAGTGTCTGTGTCCTTCTGTCCTGTGTCCAGTTTACATAGCTCGCCCGGATGTGCCCCCGCGGCCCCAGCCGGGTCCGGTCAGCGCGTCCATTTGTGGCGTCCCCCCCGCGCGCCGTACACCTCCCGGCTGTTGAGGGGGAAAGACTATTTCTATAGTCAAATGGCTATCACTGTTTTCTTCTTGTATTAGGTTTGCGAAAAGAATCTCTATAAGAATAAGAACGTCTTATTCCATCTGATCGAAACAGCCTGCCTTAAACAAAAGGCAGGTCGCACAAGGAATGTTTCGATGCAGAGTCAGCAGACCATTTTCTGACCCAAACTGTTCGCCTAGCTGCTGTGAAGAGGCCCATAGATTTAGCTTACAGCTTACAAGCTTCAGAAGTAGAGTCTGAAAGGAAACCGGAAGCAATTCTGATGCTCTGTGGAAGTTTCAAAGGATCCTTCTTGGACTTCCCCATGTACATCTTTTTTAGGGAATACAGACAAATATGTTGAGCTTTAGCCACTGATGTACCTGAAATAAGAGCTTTACTTTGAGCAGCATAAGTGGCATATAATTTACGTAAAGATGATTCAGCCTTGTTAAAAAAAAAAAAAAAAAGTACAGTTTCCCAAACTGTACAATCAGCGCATCCACCTTAGGAAGATCTTATGATTTCTTGTTGTTCTCTCCTTTAATGGCAAAATAGTTTTAAAATGATTAATTAAAATGGCTTCTTAATTGATATTTCCATTCCCTCAGCATCAGTTCCTTCAGTTTAGGACAGAAGGGATAAGATCCGAGCTTCTTGCAATGAACAGATTTCTGATCGTTAGCAGAATCTTTATTTTCCATAAGGTGTTAAACTTCTTTGCATAAGTCTGTGTAGACTCTTATCAAGAAAATAATATCCTTCATCTGAAGAGACTGAAGAATCCTCAATTGAGCATGTAGAAGAGTCTGAGCTGGATTCTGTCTGTTTCCAGTTTCCTTTTCTTGCTCTTACCAGGAGATTTAAATACTGTTTCAGTAGGCATAGAGGATTGGGCTGATTGATCAGCAGCTGACCTAATATCCAAAAAAAGGTACATTGTAAACTGTTCTGAAACCATGACAGAATTGAAGAAATATCTGACTTTTTAGCTTCCTCAGCTGCTTCCTTGGCACAGAGACTACAAATTTAACTTTTATAGCCATCAGGCTTTGGCTGGTTGCAGGAACAACATACCACAAGTTTGGTTTTGGAGATATGTTTTCCCTTTTCCAACATTTTATTAGGAGTTTTGGTATTAGACATACTAAAAAGTAATAATAATAATAATTAGGGTGTACTGGAAGGCTGGTGAGAGCACACTTGCAACAGAGCTGAAAGCACCAGGCAGACACATAGTTGCTGCTGGTAAAACTGCATCCACAGTTCTGGGACTTGAATTGTGCGCCTTTCTTTGGGATTGCAGTACCTACTTGCGTTTCACAGCTAGTGCGGTCCCGACACACATTCACCATTTCTGCACCAGACAGGACTTAGGTGGAAATAATAAAAGCGTGGACCATGTGCGTGCCAACGCTATGCAAAGAAGGAAGAACTGGGCCCACTGTTAGAGCTAGCTTTACCCAGCCTAAGCAGAGCCCCCCTTGGCCACAGCCTCCTCACCTTCAACAGAGGAAAAAAAACATGAACGTGAGTGCCTACCTTTCCTGTCTAAGGCATGCAGAGAACTGGGATTTTGGGGTTTGTGTAAGGTTGTATACTATGTGGTGATGGGAATGAGGAGCAGCATAACTTTTTTAAATCTATCTAATTGTCTGCCTGTATCCCTGTCAAGTGTTGGTGGATATTCCTGTTATACTGCACTGCCTCTAACCTGGAGGGAAACTAAGTTATTCTGTGAATCTGGAACAGCTGTTATCTACATGAGAGCTAAGTAATCACACAATATACAGTACATATGTAAATAACATCCGTTATATCAAGTATTCCTCTGACGTTGGGTACAGAAGGAATAGCAGTGATGTAGCTGCAGTGACTGTAGAACACTCATGTAGTTACGAGCAATTGTGTGCGTGGATACAGGGACATGCAACCTTCCTGCATGCTAACACATGCAAGGAGCTTAAACTGTTATGGTGCTTGTAGTGTCTTTCTAACTTGCAGCTGGCAGTGTGCGTCTCGTGACAGCATTAAGACTGAATTTACTTAGAATCTCCTGTGTTTTTTTGGCACGATTTCTATTCTCTGAATCACTGGCAAACCAGGCAGATAAACACTGTAGTAGAGGAGAGATTGCAAAATAAGGTGGGGCTGTCAAACAAGAATGTCCTTAGAGGCCCTCCAGCAACAAAACCGGCACAGGTATACTATCAGAAGTTGTGTAAGAATAAGACATTTGTACAGTGAGTGAACATCCATTGATTAAAATTGTAACAATACAAATAAGATAACACTTGTCGAATTACTTGACTTGGGTTACCTGGACAGATGAACTCTGTGGATGTATCTTCATTGCTTGGAGTGCAACCAGTACTCCACCGCCTTCCATGATCACTCTACAGTTTTCAGGTTTACGTAGAGCGAGCATTGCTAGAGCAGAACAACCCTGATCGCAGATCTGTAGGGAGATTACAATAATTACATGTCTAGTGCCTAAAGTCAAAATAACACAGTAAAGGAGTTTAAGCATGCGTGGGATAGGCATAAGGCTATCCTAACTATAAGATAAGCCTAGGGACTAATGAAAGTATTTCGAAAATTGGGCAGACTAGATGGGCCGAATGGTTCTTATCTGCCGTCACATTCTATGTTTCTATCTATGTTTCTACTTTTTAAAATTTAAATGGGGTCGGGGCCGGGCCGCCATGCTGACTGGTCGCATGTAGGAGAAGCTCCTGAGGCACTCTGTCAATCTGGCTGAAAAACACAACTTAAACACACAATCCAAGTAAAAAAAAAAATCTACCTGCAGCTGGTACACGACATTGGACAACGCAGTGGACTCTGAGATTGGGAGTTTTGGAGCCCGCAGGGGTGATCTAAGACTTTGTCGTTTACTTGTCCCGCTCTCCCCCTCTCTTCTGATGCCACACACCTTCTCTTTGGTGCGGTGGGGGTTAACCCGGCCTCCACTGGAGAGTCTGAAGCTGCACTACAACAAGGGCCTACCCAGCAGTCTACAACAACATGGCGGCAGACCGTGCCCGAAACCGACACCACACTAAAGCCGGAACGGCGCCCACTCCTAGTACACCTACCACATCTATGCCACAGAGAGCAGGTGTCAAACTCTAAGACACTCACGTTCCAACTCCCAACAGTCAGAGCTGTCGCCCGACACGCAAACCACAACTCCGTGAGCCGTGCAGAGTATCACCTCACAGCACGAAGATTTAACCCCCTCAGTGATCTCGAGGTCGAACCTGCACCAGCTCCGACAGCGCAGGATCTGGATCCAAGGTGTGATTTAGGGCTGGCGGAGCGGCACAAACCAACTTCCACACATTATGGGACTGAACCTCACAACTGACCAAGCTGGTAGCGGGAACATGCGGTGGGACTACCAAAACCGCCTGATGGCGGAATACCTGGAGCCATGTACTAAACACTTAACTTAGCAGAGTGGGGGATGCCTGAAACAAGGAGACCCAGTGGCTTTTACTAAGGAAAAACTTATCTTACTAGATGTAATCATTCAATTATAATAGGCTTAGCATAACGCTCAGGGAGCATAACATGCCACCTCAATGCCTATTTCAGACCAGTTAGCTGTGTAGCACTATTCAGACCAGCCATGCTGTTAGAATATGCATTTTATTAAGTTACTCTCACAAAACCCACTACGTTAAGTTTGCTGATGTTACTGCTTGTCACTTTGGTAGCTTACAACTCGATGTATGTTTATCCTCAAAAAATACAAAAATGTGCCAATAATCCTATGCCATCTATGAGAATAATCTTGTTTTAATGGGCTTGTACTATGCTGTTGTGGCATCGTCAGCTTTTATGTTATCTTGTGCACAATAAAAATAAAGAATTAAAAAAAAAATTAAATAAAATGTAAATGATCACTTTAACTGATTGAGTACTACTGAAAAGCACTGCTCACAAGTTTATATAAAAGACAAAATGATTGAAATACAAATAATCTTTTGCCTGGAACCTATATCCGTTCCTAAAAACAATGGCCAGTGTTTGCAATTTTAAAAATAAATGTCTCTCACTACACTAAAATAATAAGATGAGCCTGCCCACTGAGAGACTACTCTCTCCTTACTGGCTGAGTTCCAGGGCTGTCATCACATCTTGACAGCTCATTAGCTGTGAGAGAGGCAGGGAGAGAAGCAGTACATAGCGTACGATGACTACGAAGTTTCTACTTCATAATGGGCACAGCGAATAAATAGCTACTCAATTATAGCATCAGGATTTATTTTTAAAGCAATGGAAAAAGATAAAGAGCCCCCCAAGCTACCTTCCTTTCCAGAGCTGAGCTTCACAAGCACGGAAACATACTTTTCTACCTGGGCATTACCTATTTTTCTGCATTTAGAAGGAGAAGCCCGCTCTGATCCAGGACATGTTTGCAGGCTGCAATAGCAGTCTACAATACCCTATATAGTGCAGATGTTTGGGTAGCTGACACATTATATTGAGAATTTTGGGACATTTGTTGGGGAAGCTGCAATCCTAGAAATATCAAAATCTTCTTTAGAAATTCACAAAAGCAAAATATGTCAAGATAAAACATACTGTATGTACTGGTTTTGTCACCCTTTTCCCAAGAACAAAAATAATATTTCTGTAAAGCATGAACAAGTAAATGCAAACTTAAGATTGTCAAACTTTAATTTTCTTGAGCTGAATAGCTAGCACATAAAGTGATTGCAGTTCATAGATACCAAGTTTCCAAAGAATCATCACAAACTTCTTGACAAGAAAAGTTAATGTCAGCCTAATAATTCCCCGGCTGGGCATGGTTTTATTATTAAATTGTTCATTATTATTATTAGTAATAATGATTAATTTTTAAACAATCATTATTGTTCTATGCAAATGGAAAGAATTGTGTTAAAGCTCAGCAGATGAGTAACAATATTGTGGGTGCTGAGCAGTAGATAAATCAGTGTTATGTATTGAAACCTACCAATGTTAAAGGATAAGCACTACAAAATACCTAAATCCTTCCTCACCACTATTTTTTTTTTTTTTTAACAAAAGAAGCGTGGGTGCAGATACAGATCTTAATAGCAGATGCCCAAGAGTAGAATCAGACTGTGTGGGTAGAAACAGCCAGCCCCACTATGTATTGTTCAGTTCAAAAGATTGGGAAAGTTTGAGTAACCAATCTGTTCCTACTCAAAAAAATAAATAAATAAGTTTAGTAGGAGATTAGTAATCTAATGCTCATGAGATTTTCTGAAACCCAGCAGATGGTGTTATTCTTCTATGAAATTGTAATTCCCCATTTAAAGTGCAGCCCCAGCACATGTTACTTAGGCAGCCCCCCTCCCCCAACTCTGCACGGGTATTTTATTGAAAGTAATAGGTTTGTCAAACATGATTTATATATATGTATTAGAATCACTATTAACCCCTTAAGGACACATGACATGTGTGACATGTCATGATTCCCTTTTATTTCAGAAGTTTGGTCCTTAAGTTAAACAACTTTTATTTATATTGCTGGAGCATTGCTGAGCTGTGCATCAATGCTTCTCATGTAGAAGTACTGAATTCAATGTTTCTCTTTGAGAAGACTAACCCCTGCTTTGATTGAGTTCTAAAAACTTGAGATGAAGAGCCCCCTTCTTATTGTTGCTGTCTGATTAACAGCTGTGAGGGTGAAAACTAGAAGCTTTATCAAAGTGCTAATATTTATTGAAATCAGCACTTTTAGAAGGGACACTAACCCTTATTGCATCTCACCATGCTGAATTACTTTTGGCGTTTGGCGAGATCTTTCTATACACCTGCTGGCGATTTACATAGTACATGGCACCATTTGGAAATGGTTTGACTACTTACACTGGGAGAGTCGGAGGGGGCATCGGGGTACTCCTGGCACTCTAAACAATGGGCAGTAGTGTTTATTCTGTGTTATACTCCTGTAACTAAGAAATAATGAGCACATTTTGTTGCATCATTTGCGCATTAAAGAATATAATTTTATTATTATTATTGCAATTTATATAGCGCCAACAGATTCCGTAGCGCTTTACAATATTATTAGAAGGGGGGATTGAACTATAAATAGGACAATTACAAGAAAACTTACAGGAGCGATAGGTTGAAGAGGACCCAGCTCAAACGAGCTTACATTCTATAGGAGGTGGGGTATAAAACACATTAGGACAGGAAATAGCAATCAAATAAGGTGGGAGTGTAGCAGAGCCGGAGGATAGAGTAAAGTGCTGCCTTTTATGAGAGAACAAGAGACAGGTATGTGAGGTTAAGGTTACTTTGGGAGGCCATAAACTTTCCTAAAGAGATGGGTTTTAAGGCACTTCTTAAACAATTGAAGACTAGGGTAGAGTCTGATGACGGTAGGCAGGCTATTCCATAGGAATGGAGCCGCCCGCAAGAAGTCCTGCAGCGGACAGGAAAAGGTCACGGCCAGAGCGGAGAGACCTAGAGGGGGCATACCTATGGATCTGTTATGAAATAATAAGGGCTAGAATTGGTCAGTGCCCTCTAGGTATGGGTTAGCACTTTGAATTGACTCATATAGGATACAGGAATCCAATCTAAGGACTGACAGCGGGGTAAGGTGTGAGATGACAGACTAGAGAGGAAAATCAGTCTGGTGGCAGCATTCATTACAGACTGTAGTGGGACAATACGGTTTTTGGGAAGACCAATTAGGAGAGGGTTACAATAATCCACGCAGGAAATTACTAGAGCATGGGCAAACTCCTTGGTAGCATTTTGTGTAAGAAAGGGGCAGATGCGGGCTATGTTTTTAAGATGGAATCTACTGGATTTGGCAACTTACTAGATGTGAGGCTTAAAGGTGAGGCCAGAATCAAGTATGGTGCAAAGACAGCGCACTTGCAGGGATAAACTTAAAGGACCACTATAGTGCCAGGAAAACATACTCGTTTTCCTGGCACTATAGTGCCCTGAGGGTGCCCCCACCCTCAGGGACCCCCTCCCGCCCGGCTCTGGAAAGGGGTAAAACTTACCTTTTTCCACCGCTGGGCGGAGAGCTCTCCTCCTCCGATCCTCCTCTTCTCCTCCCGTCGGCTGTATGCGCACGCGCGGCAAGAGCTGTGCACGCATTCAGCCGGTCACATAGGAAAGCATTCATAATGCTTTCCTATGGACGCTGGCGTGCTCTCACTGTGAAAATCACAGTGAGAAGCACGCAAGCGCCTCTAGTGGCTGTCAATGAGACAGCCACTAGAGGAAATAGGGGAAGGCTTAACCCATTCATAAACATAGCAGTTTCTCTGAAACTGCTATGTTTATGAAAAAATGGGTTAACCCTAGCTGGACCAGGCACCCAGACCACTTCATTAAGCTGAAGTGGTCTGGGTGCCTAGAGTGGTCCTTTAATAATTTGTTGTAGCTACAATTTATTGTATAGGCGGATTCTGTCTCCTAGATTTTATGATTTCTCAAGCATCAAATAAATAGTGTGATGTCTTCTAAAATGTTTATTGACAGTGCCTAGCTATTTTATAAAGCAATGTATCAATCTACCTTTTCCACATTATCGTAACAGGACAATCATATCTTGATAGAGATTTATTAATATGTGAATGCCCCTTTCTACTTTTGCAATTTAACTATTGTCTACGTTTCAGTGTAACAATAAATCAAACATTCGGATTAGAAAAATGCAAGGGAAGAAATGGATTTTACTAGCATATATACTTAACAATGCAACACTTCCAACTTACAAAGAGATAGGAAGAAAATAAGGGCTTTATCATTGTAACAGGCTTCCTTCTGCAAACAATTTTCACTCTTGCATGCCAATATTCACCCAAAACATCCTTTTGTTTCCACAATCTTGGGCCACTACCAGATGACTAGGAAGTCACACCCTAAATTTAAACTTGAATTTCCAAAATACTCAACTTGTATTCTACAACTATCAAACTACTCCCAGTGTGGTAGAGTAAAGTCCACATTTACATAATATATTTACTCCATGATCCTGAAGTCCAAAATTAGAATATAAATTGCTACACTTAAATGGTCCATGTCATTTGTGCAAGAAGACCTGGAATCCAAACTCATGTCAATTTGTAAAAATTGCTGTCTTATTAAGAAAGCCCACAAAGGTTGGCAATTTGGGATTTGAAAAATGTTGTTCTGTATTACCTTATATCAGTTCTATCCATACTTTGCATGTAGTGTACGCATGTCACATCACATGCACAATGAAAAGGGTTCTCACTTTAATGTTTACATTCACTCAGAATATTTCGAGCAAATAAATGTATATACCAAACCAGTGTGTAAAAGAACATGGAAAATGTCTGAAAAATAATAGCCTACTCTACAGTTTGTTCCCACTGCTTTACAGAGTAAACCAATGCCATCTGCATATCAGAACACACCCACAACGACAGTCAAGAACTGAAATGCTGGTTGATCTTCTTTGCACAAAAGAGACAGCAACCGTAGGTGTTGGGGGGGTGTTGTTTTTTTTATTACTTAACCTTGCAAGTAAAATATTAGGTAATTCTGTGCAAAATACCTCCTGGTTTCTTAAAGAGGCATGTTCCATTTTGTAACCTGATTGTAACCTCAAGTATTTCTTTCACGGAATCAGTGTTTTTAGAGGAAAAACATATAAATAAAGATACATTTAACCAGCAAACCAAGAGATTTTCTGCACACTAACAGCTTTTGGGATATTGTACCACGTATTATCACTCACCAACTCACAACTTATCTGGTGGGTTATCATCTTCTCCAGGTAAATCTGCATGATTTTATCAGGTGTTATTAACAAAAGCAACATTCTTTCAATGGAAATGCGTTTGTACACAAAGATACGGATACTTACTACATACTAACAGGGCTCTTCACTAAAGTGAGAATTGTTGGAAAGTCAAAGTAGATTCAGAGTGAATTAAGGCCAAATAGCTGAACTGGAAAATTTCCTCAAGTCACCTATGCTTCCAGTTTTGCTATTCTGGCCTTACATTTGAAATTAATTTTGAATTCCACACAATTCTCACTTTGGTTATTAACCCTGTAATTGTTAAGTCATAGGTCAAGCAATTTACCTGAGCATTGGAGAGGTGTCGTGAAAGTGCCAGGACAATTAGGTCAGTCCCACCCGTGCTCACAATAGCATCTTTCACATCGTCGTTCCCAGCTAGGGCTCTGATGGCACTCAGTACCTGCTTTACAAGTTCCTGAGATTCAAAAAAAGAATATAAAAGTAAACAGGTAGTCCGTAAAGTAAGAGTATATTGGAAAACACATTTAAAAACCTATTTTATAATTAATTGCCAAACAGAATTTGTTCTTTAGTATAAGAGATGCAGATGCAGTGCTTTCAGATAATCAAAACAGAATTTAAACCATGGCCAGTGATCTGAAAATGAACACAGAGTGGGCAGCACTGACGTTCAGCGTCTCCATGCTCTGCATGGAGACAATTAACTTTCTTCATAGAGATGCATTGATGCAAGTTGCAGATTGGCCATGGCGGCGTTTGGCCCTGCTCCCGCCTGCCTCCTTGGCAATCTCAGCCTACCCAATGCTGTCCCTGTGGGAGATCATCAAATCTGAGGATGTAAGCCAACAAGGCGGATTAGGGGCAGGGCCTGCGTCTGCAGAACCGTGGAGGGCTGGAAATAAGATACGTTTTAACCATTTTTAAGAGGGCAATTCAACTAAATGGTAGTTTTAACACTATAGGGTCAGGAATGCATGTTTGTGTATAGTGCTCCTTTAATCTCAACCCCTTGTCAAGATTGTCAACAGTATGAAAAATACTTTGTCTTGTGTTTTAAACAGAAATAAATCAGAAATTAAGAAAAAAAATATTACAGATTCTGACAGAGGAATAACAAAGTAAACAATAGAAGAAAGACACATTTGAGGTGACACAGCCATGATAACCAATGTTGCAATTCTGTTGCCAAACTAATTTACCTGCAATAGAAAATAATCTCACAGAAGGTCAAACTGCAGATATCATGGACAGAGAATAAACTGGCAGCAACCAGATTATTGCGACTCAGTGCAAGGAAAAAAAAGATAATAAATAAAAAGGCAATTATAGGAGCGTGATCCTTAAGATACAATGGGGTACAAGGAAAGGAAAACTGAAAGAATGCTTTAAATCAGCCTCACCATCATACTCGTTTTTCTGGCACTATAGTGCCCTCTCCCTCAGGGACCCCCTCCCGCCGGGCTCTAGGTAGAGGAAGGGGTTAAACGTACCTCTTTCTTCAGCGCCGGGCGGGGAGCTCTCCTCCGCCTCTCCGGCTGAATGCGCATGCGCGGCAGGAGCTGCGCGTGCATTCAGCCAGTCTCATAGGAAAGCATTCATAATGCTTTCCTATGGACGCTTGCGTCTTCTCACTGTGATTTTCACAGTGAGAAGCACGCAAGCGCCTCTAGCGGCTGTCAATGAGACAGCCACTAGAGGCTTTAGAGGCTGGATTAACCAATTTATAAACATAGCAGTTTCTCTGAAACTGCTATGTTTATAAAAAAAAAAAGGGTTAACCCTAGAAGGACCTGGCACCCAGACCATTTTATTAAGGTCTGGGTGCCTATAGTGGTCCTTTAATGCAGAGGTTTGACTGTAGGAAACGTTAAAGGCTCAAAGATGTAATACAGTAAGCAGAATGCCACAACATTACCTGCTGATCAATGCAGTCAGCTAAAAGGGCCACCATGAAATTCAGTCCACCAAGATCGACCACATCTTGGCAAAACTCATTCCGAACACAGAGACGGGAGATAGTTCCACAAATTTCACTTAGGACACTGGAATTATCTGTGAATCCTGTGGGTTACAAAGGTTAGAGAGTGAGACACTTTCTGTGAAACTCAAATAGGCATATCTTTCCTTTACCAGGACACAACAGAATAGATTAACACCCTTACATGGGTGGCCATTTTGCATATAGGTATAAAGAAAAGCTATGCGATTAATGTAAAATGTATCTAAAATCTAAAAGTACTAGTGTATCTATGGACATCAGCAATTTTCTAAACATGTTGCATACTTGATACATTTTAAGACATTTTCAAATATATAAGAAATGCGTAGAACAACACATCATATCTTTCAATCAAACCGACAGTAAATAAAATAAATATACAAACCAAAATAAATAAGTAAATTAAGTTCACTGGGAGGAACAAAAAAACATATCCTTTGAAATAAATTAAGTTTCTCTCATATTTTCATTCCCCCTTCCCTTTTTTCTTTATCATCAGACAGATTTTACAAGATGACAAAGTAAGCTCAGGGAACGTCCTATAAAATAATTTAATTAAATGTATGTGTATTTTTCTGACTACATATCCCATTATCTTTGTACAAAATTCCAAATTATCATGGAGAGCAGCCATGAGCTGCAATGGATAACCAGCGCTGGTGCCATGCACAACCTAGGGGAAATACAAATTCAATGTACTAATTTAACAACTCGAGCAGAAATTCTTTGGCTACTGGTCACATTGTTAGTTGATAAATTGCTACTTTAATACCTCCAAAAGAGGGTCTAACATGCATTTTCACTAAAATTTCACTAAAAACATGTTAGTTTCCCTTTCCAGTACTATTTGCTGAAGATGCAATTAAAATACAAGGTCAATCCACCACACTTGGTGCACATGCCTTTATCACGGTTCTCACCGTGCCATCCAGACGGCCAGACGAGGTCGCCCCAGAAGTGTCCAACAGGGTATTTGAACCCGGGTACTTTGTGGTTCTAAGCCTGTGTTCCTGCATCTGAGCCACTTCAGTTCTTGATTTAGCCTGAAGCTTATCCTTGCCATGTCTCAAGCACTGGGGGCTGGACTTAACCTGTGACTGCTCCTGTCAATAATGGTCAACCTGTAGATTATCACCCATTAGCCAGGTATAAGACACTGCCTCTCCCTGAGGGCAGTGTCAGTTCATTGACTCTGGTTCTGCAGTTTGGTTCCTGTTTTCGTATCCTGATCCAGTGTTCTTCAGACTGATTCCGGATTTTGACCTTGGCTTGTTTTTTCGATTTCTCTGAACTCTGGCTTTCCATGATTACTCTTCTGTTTGTCCTTGCCTTTACTGCGACTTGGAGTATATCCCTGCACAGACCCAGTGCAGACTCACAGGCCAGTTGAATTCTTACCTGACCACCTTGGTCTGTGTTTATTTGCAAGGGTAAGCATATATCTCTGCATACCAGACTCCACATCAGGTAAGACCCTGACAGCCTTAAAACTGTCCAATACTGGGAACACAAAGCAACTTTGATTTGACTCATTACAAGTTTTTCTCTTCCCATACAGATCCCCAGATTTTGTAAGTGTTCTTTTCTTACTACTATAACAGATTCTAGCTCGTCCTCCTGAGATAAGCACTATGCCAAATGCTTATACACATGGGTATCATGTCGACATGTTAAATATACTTCCAATCCTTTCTCCATATCTCACTCATACTTGTAGTAGACCAATGATCTTAGAGTGATATAATATCCATCTATTTCCTCTTCCCAGATGCAGGCTCTCTCCACCCAACCCAACCGTTTCAGACCTAGAAGATGCTGTTAGATTCACCTTTCTACATATGCTAAATATGTCCATTTGTTCTTCCATTTACAGTGTATTATGCAGCACTACTTTTACTGACTCATTTATTATATTTTATTTGTACTTTGCTTCATTTTCGTGTTATCTTGCAAAAATATACTTCATAAATGCACTCCACTCTTCATGGTATGCTTTCAGACCTGATTGCCAAAAGGATGTATTTTTAGTGTAGTAATATTACATAACTTAAACAGACTTGGCCTGTATACAGACAACCTGATAGGCTAGTGTTGCACTCAACTACTACAAAGGATTCTTTTAGTTCTAGATCAGGCATAGGCAACCTTCGCCACTCCAGATGTTTTGGACTACACCTCCCATGATGCTTTGCCAACATTATGGGTGTAAGAGCATTATGGGGGATGTAGTCCAAAACAGCTGGAGTGCCGAAGGTTGCCTATCCCTGTTCTAGATGCTTGTTTCCTGAATGTAGTGCCTATAATTACCTCCAGGGGGTGCTTAATAATGATTTTTAACAGACAACTGCAACATGTTTTCACTTTCTTCCCTACATGTCCCCTGCTCTGGTTTAACTATATTAAAATTTGCCTTTTATTAGAGCTTTCAAAAGGATGCACATAGTCATGGAGATGTTGAATACACAAAAAAGGAATTGTGGGGGAAATACTTCCATTGTAGAAATATGGGGTCCTGACCCTCAAAGGATTTTTATGTACTAATATTTTATTTATTTTTTGTTTTTCCATCTGGCGGCTGATTAACAAGTGCTGGAAAGCCATCAAATAATTAACCCTTGTGCTATAGGGGTTATAACTAGTTACGCACTGGCTGCTAGTGCTGTCAGTGGACAAACAGTTCTTCAATTTATCACTTACTTGCAAATAGCAATGAATGACAGTTTGCGATTCCGGTTCTGTAGATTGGTATGGATGATTCTGGAAAATCTGTGATTTCCTCATCCGGACCAATGTTACAGAATCGGTTGGACCAGACTCTACAGCAGCTCTGCCCTGCTTAAAAACCTACACAGGGCGATGACTGATGATGTCACAGCTCTGTGCAGGGAGTGAAGAAGGAGCCAAACAGTCAGATTCTACCTTACTTCTACCGAAGGTGTATGAATATGGCAGAGGGATCTAGTGTTCTGTGAAAGTAGGAGTATATTACATACATTTAATTAAAAGAAATATGCCATATCTTTTAGTTACATGCTGAAAGGATTCTAATAATAATAATAATTTTAAAAAACCCTAGCAACAGCTGTGCTTTAATAAGTGTTCTAGTCTTACAGAATTTATACCTTTTTGTTTTCTCAATACATAGTAATATTTTTGCTGCAATAATGTTACAAAATATTTTTGTATAGCTGCTATGTTTACCATAAAAACACAGATTTTGAGAAAAGTTAAGAGCACACTGCTCACAGAACTTTTTTTCCAGAGGGTTCCTCTTTACCTCCTAGCCTGTGACACTGACTTAATTTAAAAGCAATAATAAGATAGATGCCATATGTTTATAAATCATTTCACAAATGTGGAGGTTTGTTATTGTGGGCTGCATTGGCATTACTTGTGCATTTATTTAGGCGGTGATGAGACTAATGCAATGTGTAATGTTGTTTTTCACTTAATAAGCATTGTGTTATTCAAATTTGTACTCAAAACTGACAGGAAAAAATATGGCCAATGACACAAGTGTAAATTTTTTTTTTTACATTTGACAAGGCCAGCCAGTGAAGTTTATAATTAGCTTTATAATGTCGTCATACATATAGCAGTTTGTGATTGTTTTGCTGCTTTACCTCTGAATAAAATGTACCTGAAGCTTTGATTAACAGCTCCGGATTTAATTTGCTGCAACTCTGTACATGAAAGTGTGTGCCTTTTCATGAATGCACTTCCGTGTATGTATGTCTGTACATGAGCACTTTTATGCCAATATAAGTCAAGAAAGAAAAAAAAACTTAGCATGTGGCTGGGCGAAGCTTAGAGGGGCTAAATGTGGCCCAAACTGGTAAGTGTGGGGTAAGCTAGAAGGAGTCCGTGTTCCCCATCTATCTAGCCCAGCGCCCCTACAACACCATCCACCCAAGTGCCCCTACTACCATAGTGCCCCATGCTCCCCAGCTACCCCAGTGCCCCTGCTCACCCATCTACCCCAGATTCCTACCCCACATATTTACACACAGCTTCCACTACGCAAACACACACACACTGCTTCCACTACGCAAACACACACACTGCTTCCACTACACAAACACACACACACTGCTTCCACTACACAAACACACACACACACACTGCATCCACTACACAAACACACACTGCATCCACTACACACACACAAATATTCTTGAAAACATAAATAATTCTGACTGGCATGTATATTTTGTGCATTTACCGTAATAAAAAAAAATTTGCAAAAAAATTAAAATAAATATGTTCGGTTAATAGTAGATATGTGTAAAACTTTTTTTTTTTCAAAACGGTAAATGTACAGAATATCGGTATTGGTAAGTTATCGACTATCAGCCTGAAAGTTCAGATTATCGGTATCGGCTCTAAAAAAATCAATATCAGTTGATCCCTAGTAATAAACTGTGCGTGTTTGTAATTTGTGTACTTTCATGGACATGGCCTACAGTACACCTGACAACAGCACAAAAACATAAAACATGCACTTGGGAGATGTTTTAAAAATAATAATAATATTCATCAGGATTTTGTCTTTGCGCCGCAGCACAAAGCAAACAAGCAGAGCACTTCCTGGCGGTCTGATTTACAGCTGAGTGTGTACAACTTATAGAATTCTTTCAGAACAGGTAAACACAAAACAAGTAAATGGTCTTAACGTATATAACATTCTACCTTGTGCAGCTTGTATTAAAAGCTTCAGGCCTCCTTGATCCATAACAATCATCTTGGCGTGTTCATGGGCATGGCCAAAAGGAACCCTGATGTCATCATCAAAAGTCATAATTTTCAGAGCAGAGCAACTCTCACGCACCACATCTGGGTCTGAAACATGGTTGACTATGGCTGTAGTTAGGTGTCCTAGAATCCCTGCCTTAACAAGGTTTTGCCTATTTTGTTCATGCTTCAGGCACACATGGCGTGTAAGGCGAATAGCTAGCAGTGTAACCTCAGCATCACTGGCATGGTTCTGTAGAGCCTGAATAAGCATCTGCAGTCCAACAGGTTCCAGTAAATCAGGTTGCCCATCAGTGAGGCAGGACATGGCATACAGGGCATTTAGCAGAGCCTCTCTGTCTCCTTCTGAGAGTTTCCATGCGGACAGCACCACGGGGTAGGCTGATTTCTGTCCTGCTAAGTAACGATGAGCCATCCCTTCTTTGCACTGGTCCCCAAACTTTACGAGGAGCTCAGAAACACTGCTCAAAGAGGATGAATCCACACTGTCTCTCAAGGATCCAAGCGTCTGCAATGCAAGAGTGGCATTTAATACAACGTACACGCAACAGCATTGTACCAAAATAATAGAGAGAAAAAATCTTAAGATATTATTGAAAGAAAAAAAAAGTGCATTTTAGAACAAGACTGTTAATGAAACAAATTTATCAGTAGAAATACTGCCAATATTATAAATTAAGGTAACAAGCCAAAATAAAAATAAATTATATCAGACTGCAATACAGCACAATATCAGGAATACAAAAAAAAAAGTAGTAAGAAAATTTAAGATCACATCTTGATATTTGCCATGGGCCTTAAATGGTGTTTATTTATTTTTTAAATATGTCAAAATTGAAGTGGTCTGGGTGCAAACTCCCATCACCCTTAACCCCAAGCATGTCATTATTCCAGTTGTTATAAACTGCAATAATTACCTGCTGGGGTTAATGGGACATTATAGTCACCAAAAAATTTTAGCTCAATGAAGCAGTTTTGGTGTGTAGATCATGTCCCTGCAGTGTCACTGCTCAATTCTCTGCCATTTTGTAGTTAAATCACTTTGTTTATGCAACTCTTGCCACATCTCCCTGCATGGGACACAGCCTTCCTAAACACTTCCTATAAAGAGTCATCTAATGTTTACACTTCCTTTATAGCAGATTTGGTTTAATTTAGAATTTCTTATGTCCTACTCTATTAATAGCTTGCTAGACCCTAAAGGAGCCTCCTGCATGTAATTAAAGAGCAGGAGATTAATACTTTTACAAGTTACATCTGATTGAAATTAAACTATTTTGTTTCCATGCAGATTGTGTAGTCACAGACAGTGGAGGTCTGGCTAGGGCTGCATAAACAGACACAAAAGTGGTTTAACTTCTAAATGGCAGTAAATTGAGCAGTGCAACGTCAGAGTCATGATCTATTTACAAAAACTGCTTCATTAACCTAAAGTTGTTTTGGTATATAAAGTGTCCCTACTGGTTGTCTAAATGACGCTGGACGTCCTCTCGCTATGCATGAGGACTTCCAGCGTAGCTGGGATTCCCATGGGAAAGGAAATAATGCTGAATAATGAATAATGCTTTCCTATGGGGAAATCCTAATGCAAGCGCGGCCATTGCTGCGCATACGCATTAAGTGTCCCCTGCCTGCAGATGCCCGCCAGCGGGGGAGGAGCGTAGGCGAAGCAAAGCCAGTGCCCAGTGACATCAGCGTTGGAGCCAGGTAAGTGACAGAAGTGTTCATTAACCCTTTCTGCATCACTGGGGTGGGCCTTGACAGAAGGGGAAGCTATAGTGCCAGGAAAACTAGTTTGTTTTCCTGGCACTATAGTTTCCCTTTAAGTATAACAAATGAATGTGTGTATCAAGATCAGTAAACAACCATTTGGATAATGCCCACTCAAAAGGGTCTCATGTATATGAACTCCAGCGAGACCATTTTTGCAATGTTATTCAAATCTGTTATGTAATGTTCCTTTACATGAGAGATCCTGTAATACCACTCATTTATTATCTGAGGCAAGAGCTAAAAAATAAATAGGCACATGAAATTGATAAGCAAGAAAACTATCCACATTTATTATATCTTTTTTTTATGGTTATGCAATAGCTACATAAAACAAAGAAATCTCTCTAAACTCACTATACCGCAAGCAGGGGCATGTCTATTAAACAGTGAGCAGCCTGTGGCTGTTCACTGTTAAAAAAAACAAAACAACCCCAGTATTCCCCCTCCCGAGCCCCCACCCGTTCCGAAAATGACAATGGGGCGGACCTATCGTCGCGCCCCCCCGCAGCTCCCACCCATGAGCGGCGGCCCTAAGTAAAAATGCGGGGATCTATTGTCCTCCCCGAGCAGCAGGTGGGGGCCCTAAATAACAATGAGGGGGGGCCCCTAAATTAGAATAAGGGAGACGGACGGACATATTGCCCTCCCCCCCCACCCCATGAGCAGCATGTGGGGGCCCTAAATTACAATAAGGGGGATCTATTGTCCTCCCCGCGCAGCAGGTGGGGGCCCTAAATAACAATATGGGGGGCCCCTAAATTAGAATAAGGGGGACGGACGGACATATTGCCCTCCCCCCCCCACCCCTGGGCGGTTGGAAGCACACTTTGCTCCTCTACTGGTCATAGCTAGTCAGGCGTAGGAAATCTCCATAAGACAAATAGTCCCTACTTTGTCTTATGATTTCAAAGAAAACTAGAGCAGACATTAAGAAATAAAGAACAGATCCTGACAGAAGGAGAGAAGAGGAATTGATTGGGGGAAAGGTAAGTTCTGCATGACAGTGCCGCGTTAAAGAGAAACTATAGTGCTAGGAATACAAATTTGTATTTGCCTCCCGGTTGTGTAAGGGTTAATAAATCTTTACAGTGCTCACTCGCCTCCGCTGATGTCGTCTGATTGGGGGAGGGAGGGAAATGTAATGCAATCTGATGCGTCTCATAAAAACACAAGGCTCCTCCAATGAAATGCTGCTATCAGTTTTATTCGGTATAAAGAAGGAAGTGCATCTAGTGGATGTCAGGAAGAGGTGGTTTCCAAAAAGAAAACTGCACTGTTTGAAATTATAGGTTTAAAATGACAGGACCACTGCATCCACACCACTGCACTGGTTATGTTGCCTAGAGGGGCATATCTCAGATTCTCAGATGTAGAAACAATTACTGTAAGATAGGAAATAAAATCCAAAGGTAGTAAAATAGTTCAAATAATTTACCCTCAAATATTTCAAGGGACAGACCTAAAAGTGACCAATTTCAGTATGAATTCAATACACACACTACAGTCACACAACCAACAAGTAATCACATACGTCAGCAGACTTCAAAAAAGTACACTACCAAATGTTCCCCAACATACACTGATACATACCCCTTAGATTGCCAAAGACCCACGCCTTCCAACTAGAGAACAGGGACAAGAGCTGTATGCTATAGAGCTTGGTAAAGCTCATCTGCCCAGGTACGGGCAGACCGTAATACAAGTTATAGCTGTACAATAACGGTTGGTCAGGAAGCAGAACGCTACATCCCCTGTCAGATCACAGAAGAGACCGTGGGCGACAGGACGATGGCTGACTTATTCACTGTTGGGAAACCTGAGAGCTACAACTAGCCTAGGAACATAAAGGCTTTTAAACACATCACGTTCACTTCTACTGCATGTGTTTTACATGGTTTTCTTCCATTCATTTTTTCTCTCTCTTTATTTTTTTTCTCTTGCTCTACTCACTTCTGGGGACCTGCGAGTCCCATATGTACAACTGTCCTTCCTCTTTGTACTTTTGTTTATGAAAACCTCAATAAAAAGAGATTTACAAAAAAAAAAAAATTCAGTATGAATTTTGGAAATTTGCAAAATTCAAAGAAACATCTTCCAAGTTGTTCTATATACCATGTACTAGAGTTTGCAAGCCCCTATGCCTCCCATTAGGTTTTTCAGCGATCATAAAATCAAGAGGGTTTAAAGGGACACTACAGTCACCAGAACAACTACAGCTTAATGTAGTTGTTCTGGTGAGTATAGTCAGTCCCTACAGGATTTTTGCAGCAATCACCGTCTTTTCACAGATAAGGCAGTGTTTACATTACGGCCTAGGGTCACCTCCAGTGTCTTGTGTCTCCACCCTCTGTCTAGAGACTCTGAACATTCCCTATAGAGATGCTTTTGGTCAGCCTCCTTGGCCGAGATCATCGGAATTGACCATCTCAGCCAATCCAATGCTTTCCTATAGGAAATCATCACTTCTGATGATGTCAGCCAAGGAGGCAAATCAGGGACAGCGCCAGCAATAGCAGACTGGAATAAAGCTAAGATTTTTATATATTTAGGGGGGCATGGTGGGGAGGGCGTGCAAGATAGTGATTTTAACACTATAGGGTCAGGAATACGTGTTTGTGTTTCTGACCCTATAGTGTTGCTTTAATCTGGAGAAATTTAGAGGACAATGAGCTCCAAATACCTTTTTGCAGAACTTGTTTTTAAATCAATTAATTCAGCATTTTACATAGCTTCCTCTACCAACCTGCAGAATATCATGACTTGGTTCAGTTTCATTTTCCCCACAAGGTTTCTGCACAGCCTTAACTATGTTGGTCAAATCAACACCTAATTTAAAGGAGAAAAACAGTTTACAAAGTTTAGTCAACGTACCATAACCACAACCAATCAGTGCTGTTGAAATATTGACAAAGTTGATACTATTAATGCAGAAGTGGAATGTCTACACTAGCAATACGGCGAGCAGGGCCGAACTACAGGTGCCTTAGTAAACCCTGGTATCAGGACAGTGCCCAGAACCTACTAGCACCATAAAATCTACAATATTTTGATTATAGTGTTTTGACTGCTCCTTTAAAAAGTTGTGGAAAGATCAAAATTTAAAGGGACACTATATTCAACAAAACAACTTTAGCTTAATGAAGCAGTTTGTTTGTATAGATAATGCCCCTGCAGTCTCACTGTTCCATATTCTGCCATTTAGGAGTTAAATCACAATTGTTTATGCAGCCTTAGGCACACCTTGTGACACACGTGACTTACACAGCCTTCCTACAAACGTCCTGTAAAGAGTCATTTAATGTTAACACTTCCAGTATTGCAAATTCTGTTTAATTTAGAATTTCTTATCTCCTGCTCTGCTCAAAGCTTGCTTGATCCTGCTGGAGCCTCCTGTAAATAAATAGAACTTAATTCACAGAGCAGGAGATAAAAACTTTTAAAGTACCGTATATACTCGTGTATAAGTCGAGTGCAGTTTTGTGACCAACAATTGTGAAATATGCTATGCCTCGTGGATAAGTCGAGGGTAAAACTTGGGGCTATGAAATTCTGTGATTTTTATAATTTTGTCAGATTTTACCTAGGTAAGATCCTGGAACATAATCCTGTATATAATGCAGAGTGTGTGTATATAATGAAGAGTGTGTGTTTGTATGAATGTGTGTGTGTATATAATGCAGAGTGTGTGTTTGTATGAGTGTGTGTGTATATAATGTAGTGTGTGTGTGTGAACTGGGTGGAGGGGAGGGCGGTTTTATTATTATTATTATTTTTTTTAATTTTATTTAATATTTATTTTTGTCCCCCCTCCCTGCTTGTTACCTGGTCAGGGAGGGGGGCTATCTTAATCCCTGGTGGTCCAGTGGCATGGGCTGTGCAGGGGGGGAGCCGGCAGCAAGCTGTTACGTACCTTTGTAGCAGCTCCGGTCAGCTCCCTTCACCTCCATGCAGCTCCCTGTCAGCTCCTAGTGTAAATCTCACGGTCTGCGTGCTGCACGGTAACCCGTGGCAACGCTCTGACGGCCACGGGTGTCGCAAGATTTACACTGTGGTCTCCCACACCGCTTCAAACACGGCAAGGAAACCCTAAAACAAAAAATTGCCACCACAAACTTGAGAACAAGTTTAAAAAAAAAAAAAAAAAAAAGGAGTCAGCAAGCCATCATTATAAAATCTGTCATCGTGACTGAGATTTAATTGTTTGAGATGGAATAAAGATGTTTTATATTGGCCTTTTTTTCCCGCACTTGTCGATCTTAAGTTTGTACTCACAACTTTCTGTTTTTGGATAAACTACATCTTCAAAGGCAGGCCTTGGAAAAATACAGCTGTGAAAGTTTGTGTTTCCACACTTCTTCCGGAAGGTCATGCTGAATACCTAAGTAGGCAGATACAGCTATGACTTTTTAAGATTTCCAACTCAAATTTACTGCATGCTTTAGTTCTTGTTTTGAAAACAGCTTTTTGTGCCAATGCACGGGTTTTAATTTGACTATACCAATGACCAGCCATGGACCACCCAAACATCATATATATATATTCAGACAAAATATTCAGAGTATATTTTACAAACATTGAAGGTGTTTATCAAACAACATAAAAAATACATGGATTATAAAGCAAGATCTGTTTCGCACAACATAGGTTTTGGGAACATTACCTGGAACTGGGCATTTTTGGCGCTTCAATTAGCGGTTATTTACACACACTTTAGGGAATGAAGATAGTTTTACTAAGTTCTACGGAACTGTGTATTTGTTCACATATATATTCATGAGCAAACATTCACAAAAAGTACCTTGAGACATACATGGATTATAAAGCAAGATCTGTTTCGCACAACATAGGTTTTGGGAACATTACCTGGAACTGGGCATTTTTGGCGCTTCAATTAGCGGTTATTTACACACACTTTAGGGGATGAAGATAGTTTTACTAAGTTCTACGGAACTGTGTATTTGTTCACATATATATTCATGAGCAAACTTTCACAAAAAGTACCTTGAGACTCAAGTTGTTGGATAGCATCATTCAATGCTTCCTCTGGATCCATTTCAAACTCTGTCATGTTTTCACGCACAATGTCGTCAAAAGTCTCCTGGGTAACCCATCTGCACGCCATTTTAGTCCAATGGATGTTTTCCTTTATCTAGAAAAATACATTAAAAGAAGCGGTGTTATGCACAGATTTGTATTTTCTCTTCCTATATTTCTTTTTGTATCACTATATGTCTTAGAAAGGAGAACATATAGTTGGCAAGGGGAAAGCATAAACTGACTTTATGTAAAGAAACACATTTAAAACAATTTAATTTCTATGAACTTGTCAATTCTAGAAGGTTAGTCTAGGAACAATTTACTGCAGATGGAGTGTCGGCTGCTGAACATGCCAGCAGGGAGATCAAAAGTTCTCCCTGACCGACTGTGTGTTTGCACCCCCCAGACGCCTAACCGTCTTGCCCAGTGATAGAGTCTGTGGGTAAGGAGGCAGAAATTGGTCAGTTCTTCCAGGCCAGCTTCTCCGCTCATTGTACTAACACATTTCACGTTGCCAATGAGAAGGAGCTGGAGGTGCAGACATGCTGCTTTTCTCATTGGACCAACAGGGATCAGGATTCCCCTCTCTGGCCCAAGGTAAGCCTCGGGAAGGGGGGAAGACATGTTATTTCATTTTTAAAATGTATTTTGGCTTAATTAAAAATTGAACTTTCCCATTAGCCCCTAACCCCCGACTTCAGCCTCTTACTCCCACTGCAGGTTCTAACCCCCACTACTGCTCCTAACTCCACAGTTAAGCCGCTATCTGCCCACTATTGTCTCTAGTTTCACTACTTCTCAACACTACATCCCTCTATAGCACCTATCAACCCACTACACTCCCTATCCCCAACTATAACCCCTATTCTTTGCTACAGCCCTTATCCCCTCACTACAGCCCCTAGGCCCCCACTACAACCCCAAGCCCCCCATTACCTCCTTTAACCCATCACTACAGCACCCAACTTTCCCACTAGGTATAATGGCCTGAGGGGCAGCTAACTTGAATCTCCCTTTCTATTTTGTACTTAATGGAAATTCCACTATGTTGACTATATTTCTCACACATGACTCACAGCTATACACACGGCCAGCCTTATACATCACACATAGAAAGAGCCACAGTGGACAACTCACTAACAGCTTCAACACTTACAGCCACCCTACACATAAACACCCACACATCCAATCAGCATTTTAATAGATATTCACAGTACATAACATAAAAAAATAACATAGGGGAAAAACTTCCCCTGTGCACACCCTAATGAAGAGGGCTGCACATGACTATGATAAAGATTGAATGGCCCTGCAAGAGATCCAATAAATCATGATGTTTTTACCCTTTTTATTCCAGCAAGTAGGATATGCTAAAACGGGTGTATTGGAAACACAGGCCCAGTAAAATCCAACTTTAGAAACCAACGTTAAAACCAAGCAATTCAGCAATATAGTGTTTCAAGATATGGATTACTGTTCCACTCCAGGACTGCTAAACTTTGGACTTGTTTGTTTTAATATTTGCTTCTGACAATTGGTCCTCCATATAACTTGCTGGAATGAGTACCAGGAGTAAAAAATATGTAGACCATGAACTGCTGCAAGTACACCCTGTTTTTTTCTTCTCTACCCAAGGTAATAGGGTAACCCAGACGTTGTTGCCTTGCTCACTCTGCTTAGTATTTCTAGGATCTAAATAAATTTTCGGTATCAATGCTAATCCTTACTAACGCTATATCAACCATACCCCTTAACCAATGCTTACACTCTAACTATATACCAAGGCTCGACAAATCCCAGGCGCCAGGTCACCAAGGTAACTAAAAATTTTGTCCTGGTGCCTGGGATTGACCAGCCCGTTTCCCTTTTCCTCCTGACTCAGTGATGGGAGCTTTAGTTACTTCCTTCTGGTGCTGAGGCCGGCGCCTGGGATTGATCAGCCCGTTTCCCATTTCCTCCTGACTCAGTGGTGGGAGCTCTAGTTACTTCCTTCTGGTGCTGAGGCTACACAGGGTACTGGATAAAGACTGATCTGCTTGCTGCCTGCCCATTCCCCTGCGTGGCCTCAGCGCCAGGACGTAATTAGTTATCTTCATTCCTCCCAGCACACAGAGAGCTGCAAGGGGGTACAGGAGGAGGCGTAGTCTGAACAGAGCGTAAGAAAGCATTAGATTTGCTTAGATCTTGGGATCGACCGATATTGATTTTTTTAGAGCTGATACCGATAATCTATGAACTTTCAGGCCGATAGCTTACCGATACTCTGTACATTTACCATTTTTGCACAAAATATACATGCCACATGTAGTGGATGCAGTGTGTTTAGACAAGGGAGCTGTGTGTGTTTGTGTAGTGGATGCAGAGTGTATTTGTGTAGTGTGTATATAATGAATGCAGTGTGTTTGTGTAGTGTGTATAGTGAATGCAGTATTTGTGTAGTGTGTACATAATGAATGCAGAGTGTGTGTTTGTGTAGTGTGCGTAAAGTGAAGGCAGTCTGTGTGTAGTGTGCGTAAAGTGAAGGCAGTGTGGTGTGTGTGTGTATATACTAAATGTAAAGTGTGTGTGTATAGTGAATGCAGTGTGTTTGTGTAGTGCATGTATATAATACAGTGTGTTTGTGTAGAGTGTGTGTTTGTGTAGTGTGTGTATATAATGCAGTGTGTGTGTGTTTCTGTAGGTATGTAATTTGGGGGGAGGGGGCATTTGTTATTAAACATTTTTTTTAAATTTAATTATTACTATTTTTTTTTATAGTCCCCCCTCCCTGCTTCTTACTTGGCCAGGGAGGCGGGATAAGCATTCCCTGGTGGTCCAGTGGCATGGAAAGAACAGTGGGATCAGCAGCAGGCTCTTACTTACCTTCCCTTCAGCTCCCCTGTTTAAATCTTAAGGCCTGTGTGCCGCGCGGCTGCGGGACTCGCAAGATTTACACAGGGGAGCTGAAGGGAAGGTAAGTAAGCGCTTGCTGGGCCCCCCAGGCTCGTAATGGGCCCGGCGGTCCTGATATGTATTATCGGCAATATCGGTATCTCTATTGGCCGATAATACCGATAATCGGTCGATCCCTACTGAGATTGCCAATTCTGATGATCTCAGCCAATGAGGTAGGGCAGAGCCAAAAGCCACCCTGACCAATAAGCATTTCCTCATAGAGAGGCACTGAATCAATGCATCTCTACGGGGGTAAGGTTAGCACCTTCATGCAGAGTGTGAAGACCTGAACGTCATGTAGCACTGACCCAGGAAGCACCTCTAGTGGCCATCTGAGGTGTGGTGACTAGATGTGTTTCTAGGCTGTAATATAAACAATGGTTTTTCTCTCAAAAGTCAGTATTTGCATTAAAAGCCTGCAGGGACTAACTATATTTACCAGAACAACTACAATAAGCTATAGTTGTTCTGGTGACTATAGTGTCCCTATACATTTTTACTTTAATAAGCAAACCTAAATAGTGTCAGGACACTTTGATAAATCTAATCCATTGAGTGTCCAAATTGTCAAATATAATGTCCGTCCTTTTTTTATTTCCTCATTATTTCTATGTTAAGTTAGTATGAGAATGAGACCAGACTGATCATCCTGTGACACATAAAGCAGAACCCACCATTACCATTCACATGACTGGGAGCATCAGTCTAGTTCATTTAAATTTCCACAGTTGACATTAAAGGACCACTATAGGCACCCAGACCACTTTAGCTCAATGAAGTGGTCTGGGTGCCAGGTCCCTCTAGTTTTAACCCTTCAGATGAAAACAGTTTCAGAGAAACTGCTATGTTTACACTGAGGGTTAATCCAGCCTCTAATGGCTGTCTCACTGACAGCCGCTAGAGTCCGTTTCCGCGATTCTTACTGTGAAAATCACAGTGAGAAGAAGCTGAGGTCCATAGGAAAGCATTGAGAAATGCTTTCCTATGGACTGTCTTGCCACGCGTGCGCATTCGGCGCTGACGTTGGCTGAGGGAGGAGAGTTGTGAATTACATCTCCCATGAGTCTTGACCAGCATTATGGCTCTAAGCCAGGCTTCCCCAAACTCTGGCCCTCCAGGTGTTGCTGAACTACAACTCCCACAATTCTCAGCCTATTTCATTCGTAGAATCATGGGAGTAGTAGTTCAGCAACATCTGGAGGGCCGGAGTTTGGGGAAGCCTGATATAAGAGCATTATGGGTAGTAGTACACATCTGGAGTGACAAAGGTTGCCTACCCCTGCACTACAGAGGCATCCATGGAGGAAAGCTATATAACAGGCTGTGCAGGATGCTGTCAGCAGCTTCTTTGGGAGGAGGGGGGGGTCATCTCCAGTAAAACTGGTGGTAGTGATGATACTGCACCGACTGGCTTGTGTATAAAAAGGAAATATTGCTTTACATATTTAAGGCCAAAACCACCAAATTGGGAGCACTCTCTGCTGACTGGCAATTCGTTACATGTTGACCTGAAATGCGCAATTTCATTGTGTTGTCTCCACAGTTAGTGCATAACCCGCACAGTCTGCAGCCATAGCGGAGTATTGTCATTCAGTAAGCGGTCACCGGCCACACAGGGCCCCACACAGGGCCCCAAACACACCCACACACCCACACACCCACACACCCACACACCCACACACCCACACACCCACACACCCACACACCCACACACCCACACACCCGAGCAGAACACAATGACTCGCCTTACCCTGCCTGCTCTCTGGCTGTCCGCACGTTCATAACATAGCAACCGCGGCCGGAAATGACGTCACCGGCAGCCATCTTCAGTGAGGGCAAAGCACAGGACCATACATAGTTTACAGCCAAAACTCGTACAAACTGAATTTACTAAGGTCACTTACTATAACTACATTCCAAATAAAATTAACTTCCCCAAAATTGACATTATTTTTTTTTTAAAAAAAGGCTCTGTGGCGCCCTCACTAAACATGTCCGCCGCTCCCCGCCCACACGTGTAACGTAACCCGCGCGCGGTATTCTGGGAGAGGCGAAGGAACAACAGTGAAATAGGGCGGTGTGCAGAGCTGCGGCAAGGTAAGGGGCTGGCGGTAATGGAGGCTGGCGGTAACGGGGCAGCCGGTAATAGGGCTGGGTGCAATACCGCGAGCTGAGACCGGGTGATATTTAGACTGTATTGCTATGACATAAGATGATAGTGTCGGGAAGCAGCCCTCCATGGTGACTGGGCCATGCTCTGTGTAGGCCAGCACTGCCAGCATTGCCGTGTGTGCCGGCCACTGGGAAGGGTAATTAGTGTGAATGGCAGGGGGTCAGTGCGGATTGATAGGAATCCTGGCACTCAGTGTCTCTCTGTAACCCCCACTCCAGGCACGGGGAGACTAAATAACACACAGGCTCCCCAGTGTGCTGCAATTAGTGGGAATTTATTGAGAATCAGAAAAATAATAATCATACACGACGTTTTGTCCTCATGCCTTAATCCTGTATACAGAGTAATAAACAAAACCCCGTATATAACTGCAGAAAAGAAAATCCTGCCCTTTCTTATACTCGCCGTATTCCAGCGTGAAGTCCCTGTGCTCCGGGTACGCCTCCTCTGACATCATCACCGAGGTGGAATCTAATGTGCAGTGGGCGCTACACGCGCGTGTTAAAACCCCTTCAGCAGCTTACCTTATTCCAGCGCCAGGCAGCCCGAGGTGGAATCTAATGTGCAGTGGGCGCTACACGTGCATGTTAAAGGACCACTCTAGGCACCCAGACCACTTCAGCTTAATGAAGTGGTCTGGGTGCCAGGTCCTTCTAGGGTTAACCCATTCTTTCATAATTATAGCAGTTTCAGAGAAACTGCTATAATTATGAATGGGTTAAGCCTTCCCCCTAATCCTCTAGTGGCTGTCTCATTGACAGCCACTAGAGGCGCTTGCGTGCTTCTCACTGTGAAAATCACAGTGAGAGCACGCCAGCGTCCATAGGAAAGCATTGTAATGCTTTCCTATGAGACGAGCTAGTCTTGGCCAGCGCAGCTGTATAGCGCATGCACATTCATCGGCGGAGGAGGAGGAGAGCTCATGGCGCTGGAAAAAAAGGTAAGTTATTACCCCTTTCCCCTTCAGAGGCAAAGGCGGGAGGGTCCCTGAGGGGCACCCTCAGGGCACTATAGTGCCAGGAAAACAGTATGTTTTCCTGGCGCCTCAATCAGTGCTAAAACCTTCAGCAGCTTACCTTATTCCAGCGCCAGGCAGCCCGGCGCTGGTGACTTCTCCTCCCCGTCCGACGTCAGCTCCTCCTCAATGCTTTCCTATGGACACTCTGCGTGATGGATGTGAAATTCGCATCCCGCGTTGCAGATGCGCCTCTAGAGGCTGTCCGGAAGACAGCCACTAGAGGCTGGCTTAACCCCAAATGTTTCTGAAACTGCTATGTTTGCATCTGAAGGGTTAAAACCTGAGGGACCTGGCACCCAGAACACTTAATTGAGCTTAAGTGGTCTGGGTGACAATAGTGTCCCATTAATGCTCCTGTGCTGTCTCCAACCAAATTGTATACGATACCAGTAGAGAGCACTCAGGAGTCTTTCAAAGTAAATTTCATCTGTTGCTTTATTGAGCAATTAGAAATTCACATAACGTTTCAGTCTGTAAAAGACGTTTTTCAAGACCAAAAAGTCTTTTACAGACTGAAACGTCAACTGGAACGTTGTGTGAATCTATAATTGCTCAATAAAGC